CCAATCTGGCATAGTAGTGTAAATAAAGATTGCGCTTACAGAGTGTAGGTTGATACCGTTGTTATGACATATTCTAACATATGGACTCATTAACAGTAAATTCTCCAGTTGTCTGAAATGTTACACTAAATCTTATACGTTACAGTAGTATTGATAAAGAGAATGGTTCCAGAGCACAGTTGATACCAAAATTATCATGTAATTCAGTCAATGAAAATTTTTACATTGAGACCCCTTATCTCCAATGTAACGCTTCATCGGATGGATTACCGAGCGGTGTCCATACTTTAATTTGGGATGATCAGCTGCTTTGTTCATCGAGTCATTGGGACTACATCTAGCCTACTACATCGTGAATAATCTGGTTGACAATACTAGCATCCAAGATGGTTACGTCGTGTAAATATTTGGCGGACTTGAACGATCCTCACCTACCGCCATCTCATATGAAGGTAGGAAAGGGAATCTGTTTATACACTGTAATTCAGAATCCGGTTCTTCTGACTGATGTCTAAATGAAATAGAGGTTCTAAACCAAAAAATATATAAATTAATAAATAAAAAAAAACAAATAATTGTCAGTAAGTGGTCTAAAACGGGTCTAGATATGCACTATTACGGATTTAATTTAGATATGAACATCAAGCTAAACACATTATTTAGCTTATTCATATGTCTTTGAAACTCTAAATGGGTTATAGGGAAGGAGTGGTAAGTAAAATTTATTATATCGCTGGCAGTTTCCCTGGGCAATATGACATGTGTCGTAAATGACATTTCACTCGCTCTTTCACCTGCCTCCACAGATGGGCCCATCTTGCCCGCTCGGAATTGCTCCCTTTGATCCCGTTCAAGAAAAACAAATATCTGTAACGGACTTACTAGTTTCGTAATTTTTGTAAAATGTCGGCAATGGATTCATAAAAAGGAGCAGAAGACAGTCAAACCTTTGTGGGTTTATTGTGTTACAAACACAATTGGCTTTCTTTCCCAGCCCTCAAATTAAACAACTCAATCTTGGTTCTTAATAAAGCGGAAACTTTCAGCTTTATAATAAATCCTTTATTGACCAAGCTTGTTAAGTCAAGATGGCTGGATATTGCCTTCATTCTATTTTTGCGTTTTCATGGAGCGAAACGATGTCGAAGTCCATAAAATGCAAAAAAGGAGCTCGGCCAATATCCAGTCATCTTGACCTGTTGACCTCACATTGGGTCAATAACGCCTACACGACAATCAAACTGAATTTTTGGTGATTTATACCAATTCTTGTTCTCGCATCGATACATAGCTTGATTATAAGCCATTAAAACTCAAGAGAGAAGATGTCATCCTCCCCCACTACGTTGTCTTCTACGCGAAAAAGCAGCGCGTAGAAGATCGTGTGGGTCAGGCAGGAAGAGAAAATTGCGCAGCCGTTTATCTGTCAATTGCTACTTCCGTTTGTCTCTCATTTGCTCTTCCACCTGCCTCCAAAGACAGAAGGCCTAAAACATGCAAAGATTCCCAATAATGACAGAATCCTGTTTTGGGAACGGTATGAGGACTTTCAGTTCTTCACGGATTCCCTTAATTTAGTTAGAGATTTCGGTCACTTCTCTGGACCCTGAGTCAGTTTTATACTTACCCCAAAGCCAATTTTTGGTTTCTCGTACCTCTGATGACTAAAACGTGTTCCTACTCAATTTAAGAAAGTTTCCTACCACTCAGTTTCAGACCCTTACTCAATGTTCTTCAACTGACGTACAGACCAGGAGAAAGAGACTTACCCATTTGCTCTGTCCCAAACTTTGCAGCATAAAGTCAACACTAAGATAGTATACTGAATGGCAAGGATGGCTCCCATTACGATTAACGCCGTGATAGCAACTGAAAATAGAACGATAAGAAAGGATGCAAAGGTTAATTAGAAAAGTAGAGTCAAGTAAAGTGACGACTAGCGCAGCTTAAAACTGAAATTTCCGCATGTTGCATCCTTGCAATGAAGCGGCATTCGAAGGAGTCTGGAAGTGACCTTTACACTCGTCTTCCCTACGTCGCACCATTGTAAGCCAAATAAGGAGATTTTAGAAACAGATTAGATCTACCATAGAACTGGCACAAAACTTACGTGCATCATGGCCGTGCTCGTCACCAGTATCATCCAAACTACCACCATGACTCTTTATCAAACAAAGAAATGTGGTTATTATAATTTTGCATCGGTATAATTTATTAACGTTGAGAAAAAAAAATTCCCTCAGTTTCAACGGAGGTTACCTAGTGAGTAACTTTGTTGTGGTTACTCTTCAGCCCCCCTTTTGTTCATTTCTTTTTCTATTCCTCCTCGTTCATTTATTGAACAATATATTTACTCATCCCATTATGTACAGGATCGACAGGGAGCTTACCACATATTTCTTTGGAGCTACATTTGATATGAACACTGGATTCAGAGTGATAATTTCCGGAGACCAAATTTTTGAAGCCCAGCCATTTAAACAAAAGTTAGCCGTTTTCAAGACAAACCACGTTTGGTGCCATCTTCAGTTTAGACAAAAAAAGTTGATTTTTGTGATCAAGCCCAAGATGGCTGAACCCTAACCCTAACCCTAAGCAATTACTGGTAAAATGCTTATTTAACTCAAGCGTCCCTCTTAAAAGTAAATATCGTGACCAGTGATTGTTTAAAATGTTGCCTTAAGTTTGACATTATCTGAGTAACGGGTGAAAAATTGCAGCCCATTGTATATAATTCTTACAAGTTTCCTTACAGCGCCGGTTATTTGGAGGTCTAAAGGTCAATTGGGAATCGAGTTGTATGAATTCTTCTATTCACGTACACGTTGCTAATATTAGAAAACTCCACCAGTAGCCTAGTAGTTGGAAGTTTAGTCCAAAGGTTTTTCATGAAGGTTTTTCAGGAAAAAAGCCATGTTTGTTGTTAACTACTCTTGAAAAAGCATAATGTTGTCGTATGATGACAAGGCAGAATTGGGCTCTTTGCTTATGCTTATCAGAGGGACTTGATTAGCATAAAGTATTTTATTTTTGTGTCCGAATCCATCGTTCAACTTTCCTGCGAAGAAGATCAAAGATTGAGATCGTAAAGAAAAAAGCTTGTAAGAACTCTCGAAGGCTTAGTAATCAATTTGTTACATTGAAAAACTGAAAAACAGTTTAATGTCGGAAAAAGACTTTATAGAGATTTCTTCAAACTGGGAGGGCAAAGTCCAATTAGAAAGACTGCGCCGCTCGACATGGCCTAAACAGACCTAACATGAAAAATCGAACATTGGTTCGTTCAGCGCCAAATCACTCACCGTTAACGTGGAAATACTACAAACACACAGAGAATGTGTATTCATCTCTCAAAAATACATAAGAAAGCAAGTTGACTTCATCTCACAGAATCTTTTGGTTTCCTCTACCGCTTCAGATTTCTTGTTCCTTCCCCAAAAAACTTTCTCTCTGGCTCACCGCTGATTTTAAAAGGGTGGGAAAGGTACCTCGACGGCTACATCGGCTAAATCAGTCAGAAACGGTGAGAAGGCGACATCAATTCGTTTTTCTTTGTCAATCCCCCTTTCTGATGTATTTTAGTGGCCTTGTCTAACTCATTACTGTCTCTTCTTCATCTCTCCCGAGGAACATCTCCGAGTGAAAGTCTAAAGGTTTGTACTTTGGACCTGGTGACATTTCACGTGAAATGCGGTGAAAGATTTATTTGGATCCTATCAAATTCGACTATATGACTTAAATTGTGTAGCACCGCGCAGCTAGGCTACATAACGAAATCTTCCTTTGATGGAACTCGAATTGTTTCAGTGGGTGCCATCGAGGAAATCGTTTGACCGTTGACTTAGCGTCCCGTAACCCACAAAGGTTGCTGTCACGGGGGCTGATTAGGAAATAGGAAATAGTGAGTATTTTTGTTGCTTTAGATTTGTGGCAGGATCAACTATACTAAAAAGAACTTCGCTTAATCGGTAGCGATGATCCTATTATAGGATTGATAGGAATTTTGAGAGCCTCTATTTGCAAATGTGGGGAATACAACATCAGTTCACAAATTTGATATTTTTTATTTTTATGAGTCAGCTATTACTTAAAATTGCATCAAAATGGTCCGGCGAAAGTTTTGCTGAAAACTTGAAGCATCCTCAAAACGCGCCTCAAATGAAATTAATGAATATGCAGTTTCCGAAAAGTATCTCAGCTGATGAATCGCGAGGCCCAGACGAAACGTTGCGTCGAAGCATTCAAGTCTTATTTTTCAAGTATTCGACAATTTTTTGTCTTGGAAATTTATTCGTGAACACGTGTTTGAGTCACTTTCACAGATGTTTTTAGATAAAGATCAGACTGTTAGCAACTTAAAATTTGCGAACAGGACTTAGATAGTGAAGCAGAACAAAATTATTTCTTTGGGTAACGTCAAATACTGGTCAACGACACCTTCATAACGAAAAGAGTTTTCGCTATTTCGACAAAATATCTCATTTGCCCTTCTTAACGGCGCTCACACTACGAGTCAGCCACACACTCACCGTGACCAAGACAGTTTGCACTGATCACTTTTTTCTTCATCATTCAAAAGACGTTTTCAGGCATGTTATAATTAGTGGCCAGTTAAGGAAGCTTTCGGGTCGGCGCATGGGATTTATATTTTAAGCATTTTTCAGGCAAAAAACAAAAACAAACAGAACAAAAACAAGGATCTGTTCGGAGAATGTATCGATCCTACAAAATCATAGAGAGGGTCAGAAACACATGATAGAGTCGTGATGTGAAGTTGTTCACAGCTGAGATCACGCTCAGACAATAATTGCCTTGCGTGACGCTATAGAGCCTGAGTCATCTGACCCAGACAGGCTGACGACTATGTGTTGTTGCGAAGTCAGACGAGCACGACAAAGAAATGAAAAACCTACCCGGCGACTTCCCAAAAAATTAATTCACCCGAACGGGACTATTCTTTGTTTTTTTCTCGCCAACACAATTTATGTAAAGAAGCTCAAATAGAAGAACTTTTTATGGTTTTTAAAACGACATCTATGAGTTTCGAAGCTTGAGTAAAATTGTTTATATGCTTTTCACCTTTTTTATTTGTAAATTTTGGGAAATTCCCAGCACCCTTAAGGGTGTAGGAACAAGTGACACTAACAAATGATCAGATTTGCTCTAGATATATACATAAATGGCTCACAGTCGAGGAACGAGAACAACTGGAGTTTTAGCGGTTACACGGTCGTGAATATGTTCTGGAAGTCTTTTGCAGGATCACAGGGTGATGTAATTTCAAACCCACTGTGTAGCTCACACGGACAACGTTTTTCCCTTAAATTAACCCTTTCACTTCCAGGAGTGAAAAAGCCTTTTCACAAAATCCATAAACTTTCAAAAGAGGAAAGAAAGAATGAAAAAACCCAAAATGTTCAATCAGGGGATTGTTGATTTAGGATAATTTTTCAGAGCTATAATTAAAAGCAACGTATGCTAGGCGATGCAGAGAATTGACGTGCAAATCTTGTGAGTGGAAGGTCAGATCACATAATCATAGAGAGTATGCGAAACATCCTCGTGTTTTGCTGCGGTCATAAGCTCTCAGCATCAAAAAAGGAAATTAGCACGTGTAGCTGGTGTTCTTTATGGTATATGGAAAAAGAGGTGCGAAGCTGCGGGAACAAGTAGTAGAGATTCTACCATTATTCAGTCCCACACCTTTCGCTTTCGACATGATATTACCCTCCTGATGGAACAAACGAACGTGCCCTTCTCTTGTGCATTTCATTCTGGTTGTAAAACAGGAAAACTTGAATTAATTAATTAATTTATTAATTCATTAATTAACGCATGCAGGAGTGTCTGGTCTATCATTATAAGCTATGACGTTCATGTGTGATCAAGCACTTGATTAGTTTTCGTGATGCTAGCTGCGTTATTTGCCAAGCATACTACTGTTTCAGGGAAGCAGGTGGTCAAAAATTACTTATAAACTCTTGTAAAGAGATCTCATGCGCCTTTCCAGTGCCGTACTTGAAACACCAAATATCCGTAATCCGTTGATTGTCAAGTCAGAGTGCCCCTATATGTTACAATCTGGTTATATCGACTGAGGTAACCATGTGGCCAATTTGCATTATCAGCTCAGTTGATTAAACCAACTTGAATTATCTTGTGATGTTCCCCATCGCCAGGCGCAGCACCACAGTTTCTTTAGAAACTTACCCATTAGCTCCTAAATAAGCCCGGGCTTCATTTTCCAAGATTTAGTACATTACAGTATTTGGTGAACGAATGAAGGATGTTTCACATTCAATGTCAAAAGGTTCCAGTTTTCCAAAATAAATCATTTGTAATTTACTACGCATTTGAAAAAGGAAAGAGTTTAATTTTAGATGAAATTGTTAAGTGTCATGTTTCATCAATTTACTATGAAATGTTCCTCAAAAGCTGCAGATGCGTGTACTAACAAGTTAAGTTGCTAAGATAATTTAGAGTAGGGTAATTCATCTGCTGTTCTATCTTAATGGTGTATCTTCTATATTTCTGAAGGAGACTAGTTAAATCGATTTCGGATAATTTTTCTTCGAAGGTCATTTTTAGCTTGACCGCGCCTGACCTGATCTTTTTTGCGTTTGACAGCAATCTTTATTTTTTATATACCTGTGTATTGCAATCGCTTTCGGAATTTTTAAACCCCGTTCCTTTTCAAGCCCTCTTGTTCGATTTTCTGTAGTCACCAAACGCGACGGAGCCTGAAGAAAGCTATTTTAAGGTATACGGTCTTCGAAGATCTGATCACGCTAAGTCTTTAGAACGTGGAGCTGTCAAGATTTTGTTACCGAATGGTAAAAAAGTGTCTGAAAAAACTTCGTATTTTTAAAAATTTCTGTCCGCAATTTATCGTTTCCTAATGAGTTTTCATTAAATCTGTTACGAGGAACGTTCTATAATTCACTTATTTATCAATTTATTTTTTTCAAGAAGCGAACCTGACACAACGCTTAGTGATTTAAAATTAGTAAAATAACTCGCTTACGCGAAATGAATACCAAAATTTAATTTGCTGCTGATAGTTGCAAAGATCGAGTACAGCTCTGCAACACAGCTAAATTAATCTTGAGGCTGAAATCATGCTTATCAACAGAAGGATAAAAGAAAAGAAAAATAAGAACCTACCATTTTTGAAGAGCTGTTCAACACGTGCAGGTTATTTTAACAACTTAAGCTTATGTCAGCAAGACTGAATTCAAGCCTCCTTTTTTAATATCAGACGTGACATTAATATCAAATGTGAAAAAAAATCGCAAATCATGTGAAAATCCAATGATATGAGGTGACCTGTTTCTAGTGGACATATTCATTCATATGTGAATAGAGTGGAGCTACTTTTGAGGCAAAATTTATTTTCAAATTAGTTATGCAATTCTCCTAAGAAAAAAAAACGCACTGATCAGGACACGCGTTCACGATTCTTGAATCGGTCACTTTTCACAAGGTAAGAAACTCAGGTGAAGACAACGGCTTAAGGATATATTGCAAAGACTTCTCACCAAGACTTCTCAAAGTGATGGACATCCTTCATTCTCTCAGTAGGAGAAATTATAGAACAAAAGATTCACCTAGACTTCACGGAAAGTTGCAAAACAGTCATTATTAGAGCTACCACGAAGGTCGTTCATCCAGCACGTGCGGTTCTTATGCAATCCAATCGTCTTTGTTATAACGAGTGTGAAATAAAATGTTGCATTTTACTTCATACTCGAATTACATGCGAAAAGTAGATAAATGTGGAATTTACTGTGAGAAAAACAGAAATTTGATGCCAGTATTTTTCAGGCGGTCGACGTACATGCAAGATAAATGTCGCTAAACAGAGATTGAGGTCATAATCGAATTGCCTGCATTTTTTCTTCTTTCAAATTCATACGTTCGTAAAACATTTTATACTTAAAAAGAATAGTTCATTATCAAAAAGGAATTTATTTCACGTATTTTTGAGCAAATTGAGATTACAGTGTATGAGAGGAAAGTGATTTTTTAGCTTTTTTGACATTTGCACGTGACTGTTTTTGCTTGCGAACGCTTGAGGTTTCCGAACTGTAAATGATAGCCCCCTGAGAGCCTGCCTTGCATAGAACTAGAAATAAAATAAGTTTAAAGTTAATAAAAGGACACAACTAACGAAGGACTGTAGAAGGGCTAACGCTCGAAACGTTAGCTTTTTAACTCTTTATGGTGGCCAATTTACGGAACTTATCAATTCAGTTGATGATACAGAATTACCCTGTTATACTCTCCCACCGACGCAGCACCACAATTTCTTTAGAAACTTATCCCTAGTTCTATGGGCTGCGAATACATTTATTTTTTTTGGCTGACCATGATTCTTCTCCTTTTATCCTTTTAAACTTTGCTTCTGTTCGAAAAGGCGAAAATATCGCAGGTTTTTCCTAGCCATAAAACAACTTGAATAAGTATAGTTTATAACTTTGCAGTCGCAATTTTTTATTTTATTTTATGTCTTCTTCCCTTGTTGAGAAATGCATAGAAAGAGGAAACCATGCCTATAGCGATATTTTGGTCGATTACCAGATCAACAGTCGAGCTTTGCTTGCAAGAGAGCTTTAATAAATAGAAATCAGACAAGGTTGTGTCGGGATAAATTTTGGCCACTTAGGATGGCCGATTTATTGTCTAAAAATTAAATCTTGTACAATTAATCATTGAAGATTTTAAATTTGTTTAGTTCTAGCAAAGGTTAGGGTACAACAAAAAAAGGTAAGTTCGCAGAAGACAACCACGTAAACAAAAAGAGGAGGACAAAGGGAGGAGTGGGTCAAATTTGCGCAGAGTGTTAGGTTTGAAGACGTTTAGTATTATTGTTATTAAACGTCGGGGAACTAGCTATCGAGCACACTACGCTCGGCGAAAGGCACCAAGACTCTCAAATTGTCTTTTTCACTTTTCTTATTAATTACTCGGTTCTCCAGTACACAATTCTACTTATATCCAAGCTTATTTCATTCTGTGTAAGTCTGGTTAATCTCTTAGGCTCTCACAATTTGATTCTCACTGAATACTTGTTCTTTGACTGCACGATTCTGACTCTGCTTATCTGCATACTGTCTACATTCTTCCAGTCTGCTCTCCTCTCTCTTCTCTCCTCTCTCTTCTCGAGACTCCTAAGTGAGCTGTCAAGAACATGCTTATATATTCACTACTGACAGATATTGTCGAGCATGCCAGCTGGCTGACTTTAGGAGATTAAACATTTGTTGTTAGAACATTAAACCAAAAAATTTCACGAGAGTTTCAAAATGAACAACAAAGTATTCAATCATAATGCTTACAATCAACTGAATCAGCCTCTGACTGCGTTGGCCAAAACATGAACTTTCGTGTGGGTCTAAAGCAAGGTCTTTAAACAAACAAAGCACGTCCAAGGAAGCAAGACAAGGCTGTCACAATTCAGAAACTCATCATGACACCCGAAACCTAAATATCTTCGGAATTCGATTTCATACATTGAATATATTCTAAATATAAACGAAAGATTAAATCATTCTAAACTGACCAGCTAAATTACTAACTTATCATAAAGTAACAAAATACTTCATCAAAATAGGACGCACCAGCGAAATATTCCACCTCTTCTATAGATCACTGGAAACAGAAATTTTCCATCAAACGCGTGCCTTGCGTAAAGAACAGTCGAATATTATCAAAGTCACCAAATAGTCTTGTGATTATTGTACAATCAATTTCGGATGCTACGAGCCTGCCCCCCTCAAGTTTTGACCTTTCCATTCATCTCCTTGCCTTTAATGATTGACTTACTATCCTAGTTAAGTATTAACAGTATAGCACAGGTAGTTGGAGAAGGCGTGGCGCGTGACTTCCAAGTTTGTAACCACTAGTGTGCCAAGTATGTTTACTAGCTTGTTGTATCAATAGAGACCTTCAGTAAACCACGACGATGGCGGCAACGAAGACGTGGCAAAACAAAAGATCTAGTGAGCAGAACAATAGTTCAGCACGTGCGTTTTCAAACTGTGTTAAATTCTTCGCCGCCCTCTACAAAATAACATCGTGACATCATCAAAATTCGCGTGATCTGAGAGAGGAAACCCCGACGGCAAATTTTAAATACACTTAGTTAGCATTGATTTAGTTTATTTTAGAAATTATTTTAATTAACCAGTTAACACAGGAATTCCCCGACTGTCTTGTCATAGTCTATACGTATACAGAGCGCCAGCATTTATTACGCACTTCCCTCGAATAAGTATGTCAATATATATATATATATTTAGAAGGAAAACCACCAATTTAATAAATGTTAAACCACTCTTTTTTTCATCGAGGATGACCGATAACGGTTTAATATTCAATATTGAGTGGAACTTTGGGAACCTGTCTTGGATAGATGAAAGGAATATCTAAAGCTTTCAGCATAGTAAACTGATCATCAGTCATAAATACACTTAGTTAGCATTCGTTGTTTTTGTTACTATTGTTATAGATATTATCATTTGGAATATTTTTTAGCTTTCAATTAAACAGCGTCGTTTCCACCGACATATCTGATAATACTTATGGTTTTCAGTTCTCCTTTTAACGAATCAATATTAAAAAGACTCTAGAATCGAGCGCATCATACCAAAATTGTCATAAACTGCCATTGCCTACGTGTCGTTAAGATAACCTTCAAATTACAATATCGATATGCACAAGTAAAGGCGACATGCAACCGCGATTTTTAGAATAGATAAAAAATATAAAGCCCTCTATTTAGCATCCATCGATTCAAATGAATTATTAAATTTTGAGAAACTAACTGACCTTAATTTAATTTTAAAACTTTCGATATTATGCTAAATATAATTTTACTCTCCTTTTAGGATCATCTGCTACCTAAACTATTGAAAGCACAACGATTTACTGAAATCCGAGTTTTACTGAAAGTGGAAAGACGAAGGCGCCAGTAATACATCTGAAACTTTTTAAACTCTAGATCTTATTTTTTGTTTATTTTGCAGCTGGTGGTACGTTCATTTCGTTTTCTGGTGAAACCCTAACTTCCCTGCCACAAGTAAACGAACACGTAATGAAACAAAACATGTTCCTTAATGCCATGTGGAATCTTGAACTAGATGCAATTAGTATGACAGGATTAACTGCAGCGCTAATAGATGGAAATATGTAATAAAACAAAGCTAAAGATAGTAAGCACGAATCTTTGGTATACAATGAGGGTAAAACCATTTTGAGAATAAGAAAAACACACAGTGGAGTCCAACATAGAAAAAATGTTATGACGATTGATATGAAGACTTTCATGATAACCTGATTCTGTTGTCTGTTGCGGATTGCTACGTTTTGTTGCACTTCATCTCCTGTAGGCCGTGTTTGTCTCAAACATTTCATGATTTTGCAATAAAGTATAGGTATAACTTGTAACGGAACGCAGTAAAATACTACAAATCCCATGGCGTAGAATATGCGACGTTGATCTTCGCCCCAGTTGAACCTACAAAATTTGTGACGATTTTCTAAGACTATTTTGGAAAACCAGACGTAAGGAAAAGCACCGGAGACTGAAACGATCCAAGTGGATAGCAATAATATGGCACGGCTTCGACCAGTTATCCTCGTGGCTTGGAAAGGACGGACAATGGCGATGAATCTGTCCACGACGATCAACACGAGACTGATGACTGACACAGCCTGGGAAATGGATCTTGAATAGATACAAAACTTGCATACAGGTGTAGCAATGGAGTCACTAATCGTATGCTTTCCTGATTGCATTCCTTCAATTGCATATAGCGGCCAGTTCGTCATAGCGGATAGCAGATCAGAAATAGCCATGTTCACAATGAAATAGTTTGTGCTTGTTCTTAGCGTAACGTCTTTCAGGAAAGCAACTGTCACAAGGGTATTTCCGATGAATGCCCAAATACTGATGAGGGAAACTGTTGCTGTGAGCAACCCAGAAACAACATATGGACACGAAGATTTATCATTGAAAACCTCATCACTTGAGTTGTTCATGTCCACTTTGAAAAACTCCGATTTTTTTATGATGATTCAACTTGTGGTGCTGATACGAACGTGCTTTGACTTTGAACTAGCTTTTAAACTCTCCATAATTTACCGGTGAATCATTTTAAGGCAATACCGTCTGTCAATCAACTTTAAATTCAGTTGACGTAATCATTTTAAATCCAGATATGTTTCAATGATAGACCCATAAAAAGCTTAATTTGTGCTTGGTTTCGTGTCATAAAGAAATTCTGAACACAATATTTCAGATTATACAAACAATGCCACTCTAAATAAAAATCAATTCTAAATAAGCCGAATAATATCATAACTTTCAATACGCTTGCCTCAGAATCTCCTAAATTTAGTTAGGAAAGACGCCAAGAAAGGCAGATGTCCCAAGAGCTTGCGTTCTCTCAGCTTTATGCATCTTTGTTGTATGAGATAACGTTGGACACGTCTCATTCTTGTTATTTTGTTGTGTTTTGGTTTTTTTCAGATAGAAATAAAGAAATAGAAACTTTTATTATCCTTCCACGTAGTATTTGCTGTTTTCTCACGAGAAATTTGATACATCCACGCTCGTGTGTGTACAGATAGAATTGCTTTTACGTTTTACAACATCAGAGACGAAAGACTTCTTCATAATTAACTTATTATTTAAATAAACAAAATAGCCTCGTCATTCTGATATCGGTCGATTCGTTATCACTCCCAGCAATGCGTAAGATTGGTACTACTTTAATATGACAGATATTTCTTCTCCTGGGTGGAAAGAGGCTCTACAAGAGGTATATGTCATGCCTAAGATCGCAACGAAATAACAAACACCAAGGCTAGGTTTACTTCGAACGACAAAACGTTTACTCTTGATGCAATTGCCGGGTCCTTCTTTCTCAAAAGGCCCACGTTTCTTCTGGCTTGCATCGGAAACATTTGAGAAAAAATTGCAGGTTGAGCGAAACAGAGGATATTACTAGACTAAACTAATAAACGGAAAAAGCTAAAAGAAAATGAAAAATGTAATTAAAGACAGAACAGAACAAAAACTGTAAAAATGTTACCGTGGGAGTGAAAAGGACATGTACCCTGAGTTATTTTCACGGCATTAAAGCATACTTTACGAACTGTTGTAAAAGTAAGCTTAATTTACATTAGCTACCAAAGGAAAAGACTGGTAATTTCCCCTATATTATTGTAACAGCGGTTTATTTTTTCCTCTACATCCATTACTTTTCAATTCAAGAAATTTATATCACACAAGATTTTCGCATGGAAATTATGAAGTAATGGCATTATTGCTTAAAAATTTTTAGATCGTGACGTTTGAATCCGCAATCTATGGCAGAAGCTATTTGTAAACGAAACAGCACCTGCTCCACTCGATATCCAAAGCTGTCATTTTTATTTTGTACCGCAAACAGTTCCAATTGTTAAATGTATGCTGCAAAATACTCAAAGAAAGGCATAAGGAAAACCAACAAATTGCATTGGGCCAAGATACAACTTCGGCCTTCTCTTTTGTAATTTGCACAACTGAATCATAGCATATTGGAAAAAATCGAACAGATACGTGATGTAAGTAAAACCAATATTTTAGAAATAGCATACAGAGCGCGTCATTAAAGTCACCACAAAGTTTACTTTGCAAATGACAAGTATCTAAAACTTTGTTTTAATATTTGCTACCAATCACGTTTCGATATGCAAGAGAAAAGCTAGAAAATCTTATTTATGAGTGTCAGTTGATTTATTCGTAAATCTTTCCATCAAGGGTTTTCAGTAAAAATAATTTTATTCTGTGTCTTGAGCTGAAAAGGTTGCATAGAGTTTTGCTGATTATATGCACATTTTCTCAAACTGAAATTTTTATATTATCAGAATTAAAAAGAAAGTGTCTTTGTGTTGAGAGGGAGGAGTAAATTAAGAAGTAATGCCTTCTTCAAGAACCTTAAGGGTAGAGATAAAGCCGAAGTAATTACGACGCAAATCAGAACAGAGATGTGGGTAAATAGAAGACTAAAGATAATTTCATCAAATTACCCTTAACGAAAGAAAGTAGGGGATTTGAATTTGATTATTTCCCTGCATATAAACACTACATAAGCAGCTCGCTCGATCTTGTGGATTAAACTTTGATTCATGCAATCGCTTCACGATTATCCCGAAATCGTTTCCGACCGCAGAGCACGAACAAGAAGCGAGCCGTCAAATGACAAGAGCTTTACCGAGAGCCTACAATAAGTACTGTAAGCGATTTTTGTAGAATGTCAGGAGAATTGTTACGCGATCGCATGCATCACGTCATGACGGTCAATCAACAATATCAAGTTAGGCTTTAATTGTGGGCTTTAACTGATAAAACAGTCAAATTCTCGGGTGACTTGACCGGCGCTAGAAGCACTGAATAAAAATGCCAGTTTTACGTGGATCGTGAAAATTTTCGGAAGCTTTATGGATTCTTCAGTCTGTGGTTTGCTCTTTGCGAGTCTGATTGTTTACAGTCAGGTCAGCTCCTGCTCAGATCGTTTCAAAGAGAGCTCAGATGGCTGCACGATTTAGCAAGATTGATCCAGATAATTTAACGGGTAAGGATGATCCAGATAATTTAATAGGTAAGGATGATCCAGATAATTTAACAGGTGAGGAACGGTCGCGTTCTCCCTCGATAAAAATTACAAAAAAATGGCGAAAAATTTGACTTGTGTAATTATATGTTTCAGGTGCGATCACGACTGTGTGCCCTACGTTCCTAACTCTCCACTACAAAAATATTCCTGCTTAGATAAATATGGATATTGCTTATTTCTGCCGTGAAGTGCCGGTGTTTGTATGTTGTCAAGCCTCGCGGGCTCATCAATATGAGGAACAACTCGTCAAAACGTTTAAGAATATATCTTTATAAACAAAAAGGACTATATATACAAAGTTGAATTATTCAACATAAGCAAGAGATTGTATGATACAATCTCTTGATATAAGCGACTCGTTTTACACGCCATGAAGTCCCCGAAAATTATCTCGAATGACAAACGATTCCTTACTTACTCTGTTGATGACTTCTGCCCATGAACTTCACATTTTCTAAGCTTCAGCAACTTTTATTGAATACAGTCCTTTACAAGGTTACACTTACTCGATCGATAAGACCACAAGATCACCTGTTCAGTCATCACTGCTGTATTCCAACACATCACGTTACATTCCTTAAAATGGAATTATATTAGAAAAATACTTAATATTTTGTCAGTGCTTGATCTTGGCATTTTGTACGAGGAAATTATTGCAATTCTTCCCTTTCATTCTTCATGCATTTTCCACTTAGTGACTCACAATCTTTTACAATAAAAATGACTGATCTTTGCGCCTTTCTTTTTCTTGGTTACTCATGTGCAAGTGTCAATGAAAGGCTCATTCATTGTTTATCGCCGGGGGAAGGGATGGATAACGACATCTCCGAAAACCTTCCCCCCACAATAAATTATGACAGATCCCTAACTATGAAACTAGCTCTTGAATTGAATTCCTTTATAGTTCCTCCTTTATCGTCAGTATCATAAATGTATGAACACTTTACAAACTTCCATGCGCTGTCACAAGGAGGCAATATTGTTCGCGCATCAAAAATAACTGGTTAATTTTGATTTTATTTCCTACTTTTCTTGCTAACTGCATGGTCCTTTCATACGTGGATGTATTTACACCAGAAGGTAAAAGTTTTTGACGCAGTTCCATGGTCGACGAAGACTTCATAAATTGGTGGTGTGTACACACTGCAACCCTTTTTTGGTAAGTTTCTACTCGGTTTTCTGTCTATGTGGTTACACTTGATGTGAAAAGTTGCCCCATGACTTTGTTTTCGACGCAAGTACAACTGTTAGGAGAACTTAGCTCTGTTAAGCTAGTTTTCACTTGAACCATAATGTTACAAGTTAACGGTTTCCTCCACAGGCGCGATAGCGACTGATTCCTCGATTTCTGAAACTACTCCATCATCTAGGCTGCTTCTGCTTCTCGGTGAGTTTGCAACACAATGATTTGTCTCTGACTCATTCCTTTGGTTTTCTTGGAATGCAGTCGTACCTGGACTAGCTATCCCCAATATTACACCATCGTCAATAGTAGTAACAACTGTGTCGCTGCTAGCAATACTCTGTTGACTCGTACGCACTTCATTCATCGCCATCTCATAAGAAGGCAAGAATGGAAATTCGTTTGTCAGCTGTGATTCAGGATCCTCAGCAACTGACCGAGATCTGAAAAAACAGGAGGAAAATGAACTTAGCAGTTGCTTGGCAATCTTTTAAAAGCAGAATGAAAAATTGCCTTTAACAAGCTTCCAAAGGCAACCATTACCATGTGAACTGAAAAAGGAGAAAAGTTTTTAGAGAAACTTTTGTGCTGCGTCAGTGGTGGTATCATAAGATATTTACGTTCTACCAACTAGGTTGGTAAGCTAAATTGGCTACCGTAAAAAAATCGTAAAAACGAGAAATAAGAACTCACTTAAACACCGCATCCCATGCTTTGCATGCAAAAATAAAGAAGACAATCAGTTGAATGGCTAAAACAACTCCATATACTATGACGATCGTCAAACCACCTGTAAATTAAAAAAAAATAAAGAAATAAGTTTTCCTCAGTACGTCGATACGGAATGCATTACCGGAAATATTAAACATGAGACTAAACAAAGTAGCTTTAAAAGGCACTTGAAAAAAGAAAACTGACGTCATACAGTTATATCGAGCAGTAAATAGTTTTATTATAACTATTACTGAACTGTTAATATTTTTATTTTACTTTATTACCGACATACTCACAGATTTTTATGCCGTAGACTGAGATAAAATTCTGTATATTAATGTTTTTGCTTTCCTCTTTTGGTTATTTTTTTATTCGTGGCAATACCCGCAAAACGGCGATACTTACAATACTGTAATGAGCTAAGCGTATTGGACCACATTAATAAAGTTACCTACTTACTTTTACTTACACCAGATTATTTAGACAAAAAGAGACTGTGGAGAATCTCAAGAGACTCTTTAATCAACATCCTTGGCTTTTCCATTTACTCATCAATGTAAAATAAAAATAATTTTTAAAGAATTCTCTGGTGCTTACTAAATCTCTTAGCAGTAGTGATTTCATTCTACCCTAGTTGAATGTGGACTCCCCACCCACTCCTCCCCCTCCAACGGTTCTTGATCTCCAACACTGACCGAGAGTAATGGACCAGTCATTATTTATCGTCTGGGTAAGCGGGTGGGGGAGATTTTGAGGATCACATGGTCATCAGGGGTAACGGAAGGTGATCAGTCGTTGCCAACTTAATACGAAGGGGAACTATAAAAATTGACTGTTTATTAACTGCCAATGAGGAGGATCCTAAGAATCCTCCGACTCCCACCCCGAACCTCCTCCCCGCTCCATCGGCGAAAAATAGTGACCACTCCCTAAACGAGAAGCGACAGTAAACAAATAAATACATGGCACAAAATGTATTTAGGAGAAGATCGCGACTTACTAGCTTCATCGTTAGTTCCCTCGTCTTGGTCTGAGTGATCAATATAGTCTAGAAATCGTAATAAGAAAGAGAAGAAAAAAGGAACAGATGTATCATTGCATGTTACTGATGTGATGTTTTGATAATAAGTTCTAAGGAAATAGCAACCAAATTAAAAAGAAAGTTATCCGTTTGCCTCACGTCAGTGCAACGAAGATACATTTTAGTCTCCCATATGATACGAACCCAGGCCTTCGGATTTAAAAGCCCAATCTCTACCACTTAAAGAACACAGTAGTCAAAGTGAACCAGGCTAGCTAGATGAGCCGGAGACAGGCCCTAATTCTATGCTCAATTTTGATCGGTTCTTACCCATGATCTATGGGAGGACAGACGCATAGATGGCAACATAAACGACGACATTTTGTTTTTTATCATGATTATAAAACAAATAGATCCCATGTCACCGTAGGTCTGTAAAGCTCTCTTAGAGTAATCTGTAATCTCTTATTAAACATGTGCACAGCAACGTAGAATCTATTTGTTAATTTTTGGCGCTTCGGCTTGAGCGTTTCTTCCCCTCCCCTCCCCACCCCTCTATAAGCCGCAGCTCGAGACTAGCTTTTAAAAACGAAACCTCAAAGAAGTCGCACTTTTCTTGCGAGGGGACATCGAGTAGGTCATTTCAATACCTTGTATCTAATTCTGACGAAAGGCTAACAATCGGAGCGTCATTTTTAGAAACTCTTGAAGGTGGCCAATTTAAATTATCACCTTAGCTGATAAAACTAAATTATTCCCCCAGCGACGTGGCACCTCCCGTTTATTCATTTACTTGATTCTGTTCCCTTGGCTTGACCGTCTATCAGCGTTCCTACAAGCGGGCATTTGGTACTCTAACCGTAACCCTTGGCGCCGAGAATTCTTCGGTACTCACGTTCATGTCATTGTGTTTCGTTTGTTGACTTAAACTTTAAATGTTAATCTCCCAATCTTAATTTTCTAACCCCCTCCCTTATAAAACCCTCTAAACGAAGGAAGAGGGCACTTTAAAAGGCGGAAATCTGTCTAGGAAAAGGATCGGAGATGTAAATTCACTGAATAATCAGAGAGATGTGTTCAACGATTTTTTTTAACGATGCATAAAACGCGTTGAGAGGCAAGACGTGATGCATAAAACGTGACATTCACGAAGAACAAAGAGACCAACTAGCATGCGTGAATGGATATCATCTCATCTCATGGATGATTGTACAAAGACAATAAATTAATTTTTTTGTACAATCCACCATATGCGAGAGCTCGGTAGTTGTTATTTTAGCCCGTATGAACCTGGTCGTGTAAATTATTTCAATATTGCTTCGTGGATGGAATAGAAACTTACGTCGGTGGCATCCCAACAAAATAAAAATGAAAAAAAGGAAGAAAGAGAGAGATAGAGAGCGAGAGAGAGAGAGTGAGAAAGGGAGAGAGAGAGAGAAAGAGAGAGAGAGTGAGAGAGAGAGAAAGAGAGAGAGAGAGAGAGAGAGAGAGAGAAACAAAGAGAAGAAAGAATAAACAGGCCCTGATCGACTCCGCCGTGAAATAAGTATTAAAGCATTATCAAAGGGTAATTTAGTACTATGAACTGAGTTGATAACGTAAATTGGCCACCGTAAGGAATTTAAAAGCTGACTTTTCGAGCACTAGCCCTTTCGTCAGAGCGATGAATGAAGGGCTGACGCTCGAAACGTCAGCTTTGAAACTCTTTACGGTGGCCAATTTAAGATATCAACTCAGTTCATAGTACTAAATTACACTGTTATACTCTTCCACCGACGTAGCACCACAGTTTCTTCAGTGGGGACATCGAGTAGGTCATATTAGTACCTAATATCTAATTCTGACGAAGGATTAACTTCATGATTAGCATAATTAAAGCTCGACAGCACGCTAGATATAGAGGTTGCTTTCTTTCTGTACGTCCCCAGAGGATAAACGTGTTGTTCAAATTTGCCTTTTGTACAGCATGTTTACGTAAAAACAAAAGAGCTGCTCGAAGCTGGTGTTTCTCGGATCCTCCTTATTTTAACGCAAAAACGTGACCTTCCAGTGTCGATTTGTTACTTATCAAGATGATCGATATGTAGGGTACACTTCGATTATAGCGAAATCTAATTTAAGTCTTAAAAATGAAAAGGTTCAAGAAAGTTTAAAGATTAAGTGAATATCATCAGCACAGAGACAGCTTAGGCTTGATTCTCGTAATAAAAAATTTACGGTCTTGAAATGAAATGCCCAGTTTAAAATCTGAAATTTGAAAAGTAGACGCCACATTCAAAGGGATTTTACTCAATCCAGTTCAGACTGAGTAAAACCAAAGTTTCTGGTTTAAGACAATTTCTTTTATGGCCTACGCGTAATATTATTGAAAAGAAAAACTTCCGTTCTCGTTTAACTATAAACAAAGTGTTTGTTCTAAAATGCGCACGACGACTTACCTCCATGGACAGCAGAAGAAAATAAAGCCAACAGCAGGAATGACTCGTAGAGGTAGCCCCTTACACCCATTTTAGTTAGAGACACAACAATAATCAGAAGGTAGCTACTTCTAAAATAATGTTTCAAGGCATGTAGATAAAAGTCGAGTCACTCGCAAAGTCGGTTCTCAGCGTTGAAGGATCAATATCCGATGATAGTGCCGTGGCAATATGCTTTCAAAATGCAAATGTACTGGAATACATCATGCTTGCGGAGTCTGGCTATCTCATTTGAACTGTCCTCCCGTGACACGTGATTCGTGTTTCACGTGTCACGTCAATTTCCCAAAATGTGAAATACTTTAGCTCCTAGACTTTTGATGCCAAACAAGCCACTTCCACACAAGAGAACTTTGAATTTGGTAAAAGTTTCTCGGTAATACTAAGAACCTTTTGTAGGTTTTACGCCTCATTTACAGCGGTAACTGTAAACAAAATTCTGCGTCATAGATATCGCGCTAATTCTAATATGACGGCCGATAAGCGGGATTGAACACGCATAAGCTCGTCAAGATATTCCTAAAAGTTGCTTCAATATAACTCTTCTTATCATAGTCCAAGTTGGCAACAATTTTAATCCGAAAGTTAAAAAATTAGAGCAGAAAGTTCACGTTATAAATCTTGGTAAAACTGTTAAGTTTTCTATTTTGGTTCAATTGGCAGGTAAACAAAACAATAGTTGTGTATGGTAATATTCGCTGTTTACAAACACTGACGTCAAGATCATTTGTTATTCAAATACACCGACTGTTAAAAGAAGTGCTTTATTGATCTCACGAAAAGCACTAGACACGCAAAAAGTGGCCTTATCTCCACTAGCCGAATACAGTTCATTTATCGTTTTACAGCTTTGCTGCGTTTATCATGATTTATGTGTAATAATTTGTTAACGGGATTCCTAGTTATGTTCATTGAGCCATTATTTCATCCTGACAACTCATTTAAGGTACAATTCTCAGCTTGATTGCATCACTGTACAAAACTGTATCCACATAAGATACAGTGGATTTTCTATATTTACATTTTCAGGTGGTCCGTTCCACGATGGGATGACCATATAATCTATTGCAAAATAATTCCAGAACCCAGCTCTGTTTCACAAAAATAAATAAACACACAAACTCCTGAGCAGGAAAAAAAAGCCCCTCTCTTCTCTTCATTTATAAAATTGAAGTATTGATGCCTCTTATTGTTGATAGTCCTCGCTGCGTTCACCAGAGGAATTATAGAAACTAAAGTGTCTTAACCTTTTCGCTTCTCTGTCTCTTTCAGTAAGTAACAAAGTCATAAGTTATTCCGGTAGTGATAACGGGAAACTAAACTTTGAGACCTAATTACAATAGATTCTCTCTTCACGCTGTTATCGTGAAAAGGCGTACTTTTCTTTGTTTCAAAAACCAGAAAAAAAAGTTGCAAGGGTCTGTTAAGCTATAACTCGAAGATGTTTAGATGATTTCATGGTAAAATTAGTCAAATTGAAAATATGACCTTGGTTTTGTTGTTGTTGCTGTTATTGTTCTCCTTCTTTTTCCTTCTTATGTCTCTTTTTTGTGTCTTGGTTTAAATAAATCTCGAGTTCCTTTCACATTCGTAGAATAGATAGGAAAGCTCGGCCATACGAGTAACTTGCAACCCATGATTCTTTCGTGTGGATTCTAATGAACTGCACATGGAATAAAATTAATCCTCTAACGTTTAAATACGTCTGCGCAATGAAACTCTTGGTGCAGTCATAGTACAGTTTTTGTGATTAGAAAACTAGAGCAAGACTTGAGGCCTAAGGAAACCAATCCGCCTAGTGTCAATCAGCAGTAGACCACTCGTCATGTGCTCTACGCGATGCAGATTATGTCGGTTACACGGAACGACACCTTCTTCAATGTGTCATTGAACACGAGAATTCGAGCAACGTCTCACTACAGTGCACGGTAGGAGCGATCTTAATAAAATTCATTTTTTAAATTCTGAGAAAATAGCCAAGTAGGTTTGATTCTCCAGTATTCACAATGCTCTTCATCAAAAAACTCAAACCGAAGTTGAACGTGCGAGCGGAACTTCAATGCATGCAAAGCTTTTTGTTTAGTTTTAAGTCACTTATCGTTGTGAAACGTTTTTATTCAGCAGCTATTGTCATTAAAGTATTTTATAGCATTATAATCTCATAATTTTTTTTAATTCGTCGTCGACTATATTTTTTAGCCCTTTTTAAAATGTATTATAGAAGGATTTCACCGCAATATTTTATAGTTAGAGAATCGCAGAAATATGTCAAACGCATTCATTGCCCTACGTAATGGATGAGACATGAAAAGCAAGCAGGATTATGCAGTTGACATAAGGAGAGCCATTTGAGTTAAATGTCTTTAATGCGTGATAAATATATCCCACAACAGCATGCAATATTAAAAATTCCCGCTAAATGTCGAACAGCAACAAACCTGTCTTACTTTATTTCTTAGAGTCAGTCATTCAGTTGGTAATGCAGTCGGTCAGTCAGTCACGCAGTCTGGGAACTCAGTCATCACGCAGATAGTGTTGCTGTCAGGAAACAGAACGACTCATCGACACAAGCTTGAAAACACGAGATCGTTATTGTTAGAAAAACCTTCCTTCGAAATTGATCATTCAGCAGATACAACTGTAGACCAGGTGCAAAGGTGGTAAACTCTATTTATTTCCAGGAGTTTGAAACTTAAACACATGCACATGATTTTACGTTTGAAACGACTCAATTAGACCGAAAAAGAATGATAAGAAGCTCCTTGATATTTCACCAGCTCTTACGTGTGTCACTTTCTTTCAATCAAAAATCAAAACGGTGTGTGCCTGTTTTTAGCGTTTGACGTCACTTTCCACCAGATCCATTCCAGATTGCATGCTGGTACTTTGGTACGCCTTGTTATGAAAAGAACTGAGAGTCTTTGTGTCTTTCTCGCTTTCCTTGGTGCCTTTTTGCTCTTTTTCTGTTCCTGGTGGAGCGCTTGTTTTGCCCATATTGTTGTTCTGGCGTTCACTTGACTTGATGTCGTCGATGGAGTCATGAACTCCGTTGCTTACGTCGTTGAGCTGTGTGAGGGATTATACATAAGTCATGCCATGATCCTCACGGGTAATCGCAACTCAAAAAATGCAGAAAACCGGATTCTCAGGGAAATGCAAGTTTTATGGATCTAACCTGTCTGTATCAGACAACGGCAAGGCAATGCCACCAAATGAAAAGCTACGAATGTACTTGATAGGGTAAAGGCAAATCGTGGCGGATTTTGGTGGAACAAGTATGTGATAATGAGTTTAGCACTCAAGCAAGATAAGCTTTGATGGCTTAAACCTGTTCTTCAGTCTCAGTAAACGGTTAAGTACTGATAGCAAGAGGGTCTCAATGGCCGGGGGTAAACCGTTAGCTGTAAAATGGCCAAAATTTTAAACATCAGCCGTGAAAGCCATCACCCCATTGAGACCCTGTACAGAATGAATGGCTACCGACAGAGCTACATCACGGGGCACATTGCACATGGAAACATTATATAACAATGAATTTAGCATGCTGTGGCAAACGTTTTGAAAATAAACCCTGCAGTCGAAGAATATTGAGAATTTGACACAATCAATAACTTGTACTAATGATTCTGATATTGAAATTATTGATTCCTTAAAACAATGTTGACCTTGGTAACGAGAGACAAACGTAAAAAACATGACATAATTGACTTCCAAGGTTCCGAATAGATAGTGACGGTATCCAGATCATCACTCACAACTTACCGAATTCAACAGCGGAAACATTTACGTTAAAAAAAACTACGAAATATTAAATCTACTCTAACGCTTTGCAATACAGCAAAGAAGGTAGAGGATTGTTCATAGAAAAAGCTAGTTCAAAGTTCAGTAAACCTCTTGCCTGACCTTAAGCTGCTCGAATTTGGCTGGTGACTTCTCCTCAGCGTGCTCGCTGGACCGGTACATGCTCTGAAACTTCTCCTCCGTTATTTCTAAATCATATCCTCTTCCACTACTAGAGAAAAGAAAGGAAAGAAAACGTTACGCCTCGAAAGGTGATCTTAAGTTTCAATTTAGTCAACAAAAGTACAGATAAATCCTAAGGATGAGGGTGCTAACTATGATCAAATCGTTGACAAAACAACAATAACAACAACATCAGAACAAGAGAGCTGTGATTATAACGAATTTACTTTTCAAAAAGGAAAATAGTAAATAAATTGGAAATTTTCTGGTATGAAATCTGTATACGATACTATTTCATTTATATTTAGACGAAATATTTTATTATTCATTTATTCTTAACCACTTATCTTTTTTTTCATCGTCTTTCGAAAAACTTTTAAGATTCTCACGTTGTTCGGGATTTTCGGTTAGGGTAACAGTAGGGGAGTAATTGTACTGGTCTATAACTTGTAAATAGAATGTAATCAGTGTCACAGTAAAGTTGGATATTTCGCTTGATGATCTAAATATTTGCCTTAAGGTCTGGAGTACTCACCCATATGTTAGTCTTGATCGTCTGATCAACATCAAAGACATCACGACGCTGATCACAAAAAATAAGCCACACACCACCAAGAACACAATACTCATCATCAACAAATTTTCTACGAAACAAAAGTTAATGGACAGAACAAAATGATAACGGCTTTGTTTCATTCCTCGAAGGGCTCACAATGCACCAGCTAATACAATTCTTGTAACTACAAAGATCCAAACGCAAATTCATCAACAGGCTGGTGGCATTTATTCGCTGGTAGTTTTACTAATATATTGAACTTTATTCCCCAGTTTATAATTTATCTTGACCTCACCACTTGTTTGTTTTACAGGAGAATAAATTAATGATTGTCAAAGGGCTTAATCCAATCTTCATTTATTTGTTTTAGAATCTTAATTGTCTTAATTTTCTCTCTCTTTGCAGTTTCTATTGCCAATAGCAAAACGAAAAGCTGCAGCAATAGCAACAGCATCATCAATCACAGCGACCAGCTCTGCAACATGGCTTACTTTGTTTCGAGTGCAAAGCTTTAGTGCATCATCAAAAAAAAATTCCTTCAAAACCTTTAGCTGTAGGTCTTTGGGAATACTTTGAAGCTAATCGTTGTTAGCTGTAATTTTTCCCTTCACAACCTTTAGCTGTAGGTCTTTGGGACTACTTTGAAGCTAACTGTTGTTAGCTGTAATTTTTCCCTTTTCTATGTAAAGAGAGAGTCAATGATCTGCAACTCACCATCCTCTCCCTTTCCAACGATATACGTATTTTCTGCAAGAAAAAAAACTAATATAAGAAAAGATTTCACAAGCCACTTTGTAACTCGATCGATGGCTAAGGAGCAGAGGAGAATGAAGTTTATTTTTTCTATTTTAAGTAACTCAGAGTGAATCGTTTAGACGAATTAAATCATTGATCCTCTTGCGTCGTCGCACGTAAGTGATTAAAAGTCGATGACAATTTTTTTTTTGTAACAGTAATTACTACAAACGTCAACAGAAACAAACTAAAGTGGGATCAATATCAGTATCTGGGCAACTGCCCACCTTCCCCTCCCCTAACTCAACAACAGTCAACTGATAACAATTTAGGGTTAATGTTGGGTTAGGGGCCCGGGGGTAGGTGGCCAGTTGCCCAGATACTGATATTGATCCCAAAAGGGTATTTTCCTTCTATGTTTAGCTTCCGAATTTTACTCTAGCAAGGAGACATGACTTCAAGTACATTTGATTTACAGGTCCAATTGAAAAGTGCTCTGGAAGTTAAGTCTACAAGAAGAGTATAATCAAACTATCAAAAGCATTAGTCATATATAGTTTCGTATTACCAATTTCATATCACACGAACAACTTGTATCCATTTATTTTTGAAAATAATTGCAAAGATTATCTGCCATTGTTAATTACCGGCACAGTAAGTTACTGTTAGAAATTTTGGGGAAACGGGAAAAGCATCACAGCGTGAGCAAAGGATGTATAAGACATGTATAAAGCAGAACTCAGTGTTCGTAGAAAACGAGATATTGTGTCTTGTTAACAACTGAAGGTGGAAATGCTTTCACTATAAAGTAAAAGTATTGTTGTTCTTGGTAGAAATTTCTGATGTATCTAGACGAAAAACATCTCATTACAAGTCTATCCAGAATGATTTATTTCAGGGAAATGCATGACCGAGTTGATAATTATCTTGGCAAATCCATTAATATTATCCGTTCCCGAGAAAATGCGGGAAGGGTAAATTTGCAAGGATTCTGAGTGAGAATCACTAGCAAACCATTGAGATCAGTGTGATCCTGTAATAAACGCCTTAGTTCCTAGAGATAAGTCATCCATATAATTGAACCAAAAGGAAAAATGACTACCTGCAGCTGCGGATGACGCGAACGAAAAGGCTACCGCGAGGTACAACCCAGTAAATTTGAAGTGGGTCCACATCACGCTGGATAGACTCTACTTGCCTTGGACGACACTATCCTTGAAGGAAATATAATAGCAAGAAACGTTGTTTCCCCTAGATTGTTAATATTTTTTTCTTAATTATAACAATACCTTTGATCTGTGAAAGAACGAAAGACAGAGGCAATAATCTGTCTACAAGGAGTTCGAATGCTGCTCACAATATGCAATCGCATACCAAGATATTGCTTAGACAAAGCTTCTGGGGACCTCTTTGAATAAATTATTGTCATCCCAACTCCGTCGCAATTAAATAGACTACCTTCTTTTATAAAGTCATTGAGTAAATCCCAGCTGCGCTAAAAAGTTGGAAAGTTTTGAGGTTTCTTTAACTTCAGTGCAAACACTTTAACCATCTCTTTGAGTCTCGTTTGTTTTGCGTTTCTATTTAAAAATACAATGTTGTTAGCGAATAACGGGGATTCAATACAAATAATGGCATTTTTTTAGAAAGATAATGATAGCGTTGGTCGATAACGGTAGGAATAAGTTCATTTTATTGACTCTATCAGTGAAAAAATCCAAAAAAAAAATAGCACTGACAAGTTTATCGAATGTGTCCCTGTTAAGTTTCAACTTTAATGCAGTGACGTTATGTTGACCTTGGCCATTGACTTTATACAAAACACAGTGGGCAAAGGAGACCTTTGAGTACATTTACAGTCTTGCTGTTCAGATATTTTATTTCAGTAACCCGTTAGGATCTGGGTATGAGATTAGTTCTGGGCTTCAAACCAGGTACCTTTGAAGCATCAACTTTTTATAATTCCACATGTGACGTCTCCAACTGCTTTCAGAACTCGGAATGTTCGAGAATAATTTTCTTATTGGAATTACTATCATAGTGCGTGTACCAAGCTATTTCAACAATTGTTAGACTTGGGACGGCAGTTGAATATGTAGTGACTGCACATGGCCCAACGCATTAGGATAAGCACAAAAAAAATAATAAATCAATGATTGATCGTCAGTTACTAAGGGTTAACAGTAGATCGCAACAAATGTTCAGTTTTCTTATGGAAATTTATTACCCTCCTTTTACAATGTCACAGCATGCTCAAAACTCAAAGTGGTTTATTCGAATCAAATACCCGGATGAAAGTTCATTATTTGTGACTTATGATCCGCGAAAGATATGCGCAGCTATATGTCGTTCTGTCGATTATTAACCAGATGAATTACCTTGCGGCGTAAATCAACCCAGAATCTGCTAAAAAAATAAACGCATATTTGAGTCCATTTGATTTGGATTTGACCTTGCGTTTTATCGATAGACGCTATTTAGAAACATTGCT